TCTCAACTTACAGAAAATAAATGAAATCTATAACACTCATCAGGGTTATATTTTAAGCTCAAACTTGATAATTTGCCAAGTATGAACAGGCTCAGTTAAGATTATTTGATGCGAAATAAAAAATAAAAGTATAATTTTCAGGATAAATGAATGACCTTTTGTTCAAAAGTGTGTGTTCTTCACTTTTAAAACTGAGACATGGATATTAATGGAAAGAGAAATGAAGGAATCTTATGCAGTATTGCCCTCACTTTTCTTTTATTATCACACTTTTAGTTTAGAAGTGATAAAACAAAATCAAGATTACTTGTAATAGAAAAGGATACAAAAAAAGTGTTCATGCCTTTCCTGAAGTATGAAACAATATTATTACACAGTATCCAGAATTTGAAACTAGTATTTATTAGTTCACTTTCAATGATCACTCAAGGTAAAGTGTATCCAACATTTTTTATATCAACTATCTACAGTTATAGATTACCTAACTGCTCTAGCAAACAAAAGAAAGGATGACACTAATGTATTCAATTATTCAAGTATTTAATAAATACATTCATCCTCTTTTAGCCTCTTAAAAATTTGAAAAAAATCTGGCTATGAAAGTCAATGTATTATCTTTTGGATAATATGTATTGATATATAAATAGATATATGTAAAAAAAATTTGCTCACATTTATATGTAAGGTATCAATAATTTTATCTATACTTTTGAGAAGAGTCATTATTCATCCAAGAATCTTTTGAGGGATTTAACTTATTCTTTGTATCAATTAATTTCTCATAAAAGTTTATCCAAACAACTCTTGGAATAGTCTTTTATTTTTCTATTTAAACATAAATATTTGTCTATATTCCTGAGATGAGGTATTATGTACACTATTTACATTATTCGAACTATTGTCCTCATCTTTGTCGCCATATTTATTACAATTCCCCTCTCCAAGTTCTCCACCGCCTTAACTAGATATTGAACTCACACTCTTTAGGTCCTGTCACTAAATCTAATTAACACCTTTATCCACTGTGCCATGTGTCCTTGAGGAGGGGAATTAACAGGAGATAACTGATAACTGACTCCCATTAGACTGGCATGTGGAACTAGAACAGTCTACCCCAATGAGTGAAATAAAGGGTTCAGTTCGACATTCCAACCACCTGAAGAAGGCCGGAGTGTACAATGGCTGAAACAGTGTAATAAATATGGCGACAAAATGAGGACAATAGTCTGAATAATGTAAATAGTATATAAATATTTATTGATATAATAAAAGATATTTTGTATATAAACAGCTATGGATCCCAACAATCTTTCATTATCATCATGAATTTATATCAGATAATTCTACTTTGCCTGACTCACTTCTCACATAGATAGAACATGAAAAAAAAGAACTGTTTAAAAATATTAAGCATAATAGACTTAAGTTGTATACATTTCTTAACTGAACCATTGGAATTACTGTAGTAATAGTAGTAGTAGTAAAATTCAAGACAAAAAGATTTATTTTTTTTACTTGTAAGTAAAAGTTATTCCAGTGCTTCATTTTCTTTGATCATCTACATTTCATTTCTAGATTTGACTTCTGTCTACTTCCTTTAATCTTACTTAACCCTTTATCCTGTCTTTATAGAATATGATGCAAATGTTTGGGGATCACTAAGAACATCTGCCCTCAATTAGTATGAATATTTAGATCTGATGGAAATAAACTTGAGTTGTCTTTTAACTTTTAGAACAGGGCCATTTTGCAAATTAAAATTAATCTGTTTAAAATGAAATCCAAGCTGTTAAAGAAATAAGAAAACAAGATAATGACTCAAAAATAACAATTCTTACATTGTTTTGTCTTGCAGAAAAAGTAATGGCCACTAATATGAAAAACAAATCTCTCTCTCTCTCTCTATATATATATATATATATTCATATTCATAGAGAGAGAGACTGTTAAGGCCAAGAAGAGTTTAGCCTTTAAGTTTTAATAGATTTAAATTTGAAATTTTTTATTTAAATTTTGAAATTTTCTCACTTTCTCTTTCTTATATATTTGATAATTCTATTATATTTCATGATGAATTTGCTCAAAATTAAATTAATCACTCATACTGACAATCCTAGAAGCTATTTTAAGTAAAGTAATAATACCATATAAGATCTATTTGGAAAAGAGGTTAGAATAATCCAGACGTTATACTGGGGGAAAACTGCCTGCAAATGGATAGAAAATGAGCAACTATACAAAAATAGAAAGGAGCATAAGACATTGATGCGTCTTTTTTTCCCCCTTTCTTTTTTTTAATCATTTCACCCTAAGCAAGGTGGTAATACAACTAGAATGAAGAGGGTTACAGGCAGTGAAAGAGAATGAGAAGACAAAAAAATGAACCGGCTTTAAGAAGATAGAAGATGGCAATTGACATTACATTTAAGGTTTTGAAGATTGTAGTTATTAGGGAAGCCAGAAAATGGAAAAAGGTTCCATAAACTGTTGAAGTAGAAATGACGGTTGAATTTAGCTATTTCAACAGTAAAATTGTGAGACCTAGTTGCCAATATAGTAGCATGCTTAAATTCATGCAGTCAGGGCACCAGGGAAAAATGCTTGTCAGTGCAGTTGTTATGAAAATATTTGTAAAAAAGACAGCAAGAAGCCACATCATGTTGGTAAGAAAATGACTGAAGTTTAGATGCCTGGTCAGGACCAATTACATTGCAGATACTTCTTTGTATTTTGTCAAGAATCTTAAGATGTACAGCAGGAGCACCAGGCCAGTATGGCAACAGTATTCAATGCATGGATGAATGGTAGATTTATAATTGTGCAAGATGAATTCTGACAAGAAAAATTTTCTAGTATGGCACAGTGAAACAATTTTCCTTGCAGTAGACAAAACAATTAATTCAGTATAGTCACTCCACTTCATGTCAGTGAAAAATGTGAGGCCAAGAAAGCATAGCATTTTGCTCTCCTGCAGTTTAACATGACATGCTGTTGATAGGCAGAAAAGTTTCTCTGTGGTGATTAGATGAAATCAGTTTTATTTTGGAGACGATTCAACCTCTACAGCAAGGATATCCTAATGGAGCTACAGACCCTACCAAGATTTATTATCAGCTAACATAATCTTAACAATATGATACACAGATGACACTGTTTTGATGGTTGACACACAGAGAAAGCTACAGGTCTTCCTAGAGAGGGTAGTAAAAAGAAAGTGAGAAAAAAAAGAAAACTCTGTATCTATAAATGCACTATTACTGATATTGAGCACTCTTCTTCTATGAATATAGAAAATTTTATACAATATATATATATATATATATATATATATATATATATAGTATCATCTCTATGTTTCCTTAACTATAATTGTCATACAAATTTTCCACAAGGTGGAAACAGCTGTCATTCCTGAGGTTGCTTATGCAACAAAGTCATTCCAGAAAATGCCCTGAAATCATATATTGGTTTTAGCTAATAAGTATGGGCATCTGGCAAGTAAACTACATCATCTGAATTCAAGAACCCATATGAACTATACTGTAATTGTTTTAATCAATTTAAATATATAAATTAATATTAGAAACTTTATCTATTATTCAGACAAATTTTACCTCTTGTGTATTAAATTGCAAATAAAAAAGTATCTGTCTGTAATTTTTCTTTCTCTTTCTATATGTATGTGGGTGTGTGAGAGAGAAAGAGAAGAAGTAAAATTGTCAATAATCATAAAAAATGTGTGTATGTGTGGGGATGTATCCTTCAGGAATGCAAGTTGTTTTCTTGCTGTTTACTGAAACGCCTTGAAAGAAGGAATGTTTACAGTTTCAATGGTTGATATTTGCCAAATCCTCAGGTCTTCTGACAGCTGAGGAATGTGGACTGGATGTTTAAGTAGATTGTTTGACATACACAAAATCTGAAAGATCCCTTAGCATTAAAACTTAGGTGTATCTCAAGATTTAGCTTTGATATAATTGCTTTCTTATTTTATTGTATATTGCCAAATAATCACTTTCTTTTTTTTTTCTTCCGCTCTTTTTATTGATGTTTGTACCCTTGGAAACATAATTTAGTTGCAAGGGATTGTGACCTTTTAATTTTAGTTATAATAATGGTCTATTAATTCAAAAACTTATCTAATTCACTAATTTTTATCACAGTTAGTGAACATGGATTTTGGAATCAACATTCATCATTGTTGGGTATTTTCATTTTTAACACAAGCACTTTCAACAAAGCAAAAATAGAACCAAAACGAAAATAAACAAATAAAACAAAATTAAAAAGAGATGTGTTTATTTAAATTTAATGTATTAAAAGCATATTTCTTTTGAGTTTTTTTGCTTCGGGCTCTATGTATATTATCTGTTCCTGTTAATACAATGGTGCATAAATTATCTATTTGTTAATCTAGATCAGCAGGTTTTGTAATAAAGATTTATATCTGCTCTTCTGGCATGTGGCTTTTAATCAAAATCTACTTTCTTTCAAATAAAATATTTTAACAAAACATGGAATAATTGTACAAATGTGCATTTACTTCTCAACTTATATATATATTTGCTCCTTACCTCTCTGTTTCTCACTCTTTCTCTCTCTCTTTATATATACACACACACACACACACACACACACACAAGGGTCCTTAGCTTGACCCGACCTACTTCCCGAAAATCAGTATTTAAATGATCAAACATTGCGATTTTGAGAAATGGGTCAGGCTGGGAATCCCTTTGTGTGTGTGTGTGTATGTGTATTTATACATACATACATATATATATATATATATATATATATATATATATATATATATATTTTTAATTTTTTAATTAGGCATGGTGTTTCATGAACACTTTATTTACTCTTCTCTAAATAACCTGATATTTATATATTATGGACAAAGGTGGGTTATGCTAAGCAGGTAACCATGAAAATTGCTACATCATTTGGGCACAAAAAGGGTGTTATTATTTGGCATATATTTCCTTTTTTTACAGGCAATTCCCTCCAATCTTTGTGAAAGATTTACCAAGATTGCTTGAGGCTAAAATTGGTGATGATTTGAAGATGTCCTGTGTCATACGCTACATTGCACAAATTGAATGGAAAAAAAGTGGAGAAAAGGTAATTTACATTTCCTTTATGTCTGTATAAGACATAATTAATGCAAACTATCAGACTTCTTTTAATCTGTCATTACACATACACTCATACAGACATTAACATACATACATACATATATAATATATATATATATATATATATAATATAATGATACATGTTTTATTGAAAATGAAAAAACAAGGATCAATTTTTTATCTTGTTTACATAAAAGTGATCATTTATTTGAGAAGTTCACTGAGTAGAGATATCAACAAATAACTTTTTGAAAAAGAGTTAGAATTAAGGAAAGTGAGATGTGATGAAAAAAGAATCGACAAAGAAATGTTAGAATGCTGGTGAGAGAATAGATGTCTACCCACAATATACATACATACATATATATATATATATATATATATATATATATATATATATATATATATATATATAATAGTAGTAGTAGTAATAGTAGTAATCTTATAAGTATAAGAAACTATACTCATTCGGAAAACCTTCAGTGTCTTGATTTGCAAATAATCAAACCAATACCAAAGGGAAAAAAAAGGTATAAAAAAAGAAAGAACCAAGAACATGTACGTTAGCTGAAAATAATTGTCTAGCATGCAAGTCCAAAGCCCAAATAAAAAAAAAAAAACATATGAGTATGCAAAATAACTAAATAAAGTGCTCAATACAATAAGTAGAGCAGACCCTGTTGAACATAGAGAGCCAGACAACCTACCACGGTTTCACCTTAGCAGATCGTCAGGGGAGGCTGGCTTATATATATATATATATATATATATATATATATATATACAGAGAGAGAGAGAGAGAGAATTAATGCAAATATAAAGTTTGTCACTTAGCTAATTGGTGTTACCTTCAACATAATTTGAATCACACACCAGTTGTTATATTTTTAAATTTTTCATGATACTGTAGAGATTGTGAAGCTTAAATATAAATTAATAGTTAATAATCAAGTTTTAGTAAACCATTATTGCTGGGAAGTAAATTTGAACCTCACTAGGCACTCCACACTTGTTTCTTGTACTAGACTAAGTTACCTGAAAATTTTAAAAATTACAATGAATAAAATATACATATATGCTGTTCCTGCATATATGTGATAAGCAGTTGGTATGTATTGTGGATAAAACAATGTGCATCTGTTTTTGTGTGTATGAAAGAAATAGAAGCTTACAAGCTATATATCATTCATTATATTTTATATAATTGTAAAAAAAAACACCTTTATAGTGCTACTGTCAATTTATTAACTTTAAATAAAAACACAATGAATATTTTAACATGCTTTACTCTTTTCAAATATTTCTACATTCAGGGATTATTTAAGTTTATACCAAATTGATTATTGAAATTAATTATTGCTATGCTTCTTTTTTCAGATCACAAGGGACAGGCGAAGACGAATGATAAGTGACGATGATGGGACACAAACCCTGCATGTTCGAGCCATTCAAAGTGATGACTCAGGAATTTACACATGTATAGCAAAGGAAAGTGATGGCACAATTTCACAAACTGAATGTGTCGTTATTATCAGGGGTAAGTCTCCTGTTTCAGCCAGGTATTATTACCTGTCTGTATTAATCATGTCTTTTGCTGCCTTTATTCTTTACAAAATCATCAAACTTTCAGAATCTTTTTAAAAATCAGTGTTGATCATTTATTCATAAGATTCAAGCAACACTTGATCAAGGAGTCATCTTCTATTTTGAATCAATATTTTTTTGGTTTTCAGGGATTTTTTTTTTTTTTTTTAAAGAAAAGATATTGCTTGACTAAAAAAACTCAGAATATCTCTTGAATAACAGTTAAACGTTTTTATGTTTCAAAAAGAAATCTTGAAATCTTCAGGCCCATAGCAATATGGGCATGGATATATACATACATAGATACACACACAGACACACATATATATATATGACTCATCAATCTTCATTTTTCATACTGAATCTTGCATTATATCATCACTGTGTAGCCATTGTAATTTAAAAAAAACAACAATGTATATCACTTTTAACCCTGTTCCAAAAATAAAAAATATTATTAACAAATCTTCAACCCCCAATATAGCAATATAATATATATATATATATATATATATATATATATATATATATATACTTATAAAAGGTGTACATTTTAATACTGAATCATTTGTTCCCACTGTGTAACCAGTGTAGTTTAAAAAATACAATGTAAATTACTTTTCATACAGTATAATTGTTGAAACTTGACTAATGCATGGAATAATAATACAACACAAAGTGTACTTAGAACAAAATGTATTGAAACAAGAAAGTGTACACAATATTTACATATAGTCTTTTGTATATTCTTGGGAAGACCGTTCCTGGAGAATGTGTTGACTTAGTCGCAGTCGGGCAGAGTCTCTGGATTGAATCTCTTGATTCCTCCCCTCGTCTTCCCGGTACCAACCATATTTATATGATCGGTACTCCACTATGCAAATTAGGTGGATCCTACCACAACAATAATACTTTCATTCTTAGCAGCAGAATTATCTAAAAAGATTTATTTTAAACATCTAAAGAAAAAAGAAATGGTATGTAACTGTTGTTAACATTTGTATCAATTACAAAGTGCTTATTTTTCCTAAGAATCATGAATCCCTTCTGCAATTCCCTTATTTTCACAGAACTGTAGTTTTTTTTTTTCATTCTAAAATTTATTTGGACAATTGAACTGATATTTTGTGTTGCTGATGATATTACCACAGTTTTGGCTGATCCATTCTACAGCCTTCTTTATATGTATACTCCATAATGAAAGAGAGGAAGGAAATAGGGGAGCACTCCTTGAAATAAATTAGAATTGTTTTAGATATGAGCTGAATAATTCTATTGTCTATGTGACTCATGTAACTGGGTTAGTTGGTATATTAGCTGCTGTTTCTATTTGCCATCCTTTATTTATTATAAAAAAGGAAATGCACTCTTTCCTTACAGATTTCATACTAGAATATGGCTGGAGAATGCATCAGCCAAAGGACAGTAATAATAAAAGCAACACAAAGAATGAATCCAGTTGACTAACAAATTCTGAAATTATAATTATTCTTTTCAAAATTATAAACTATTACAAGTTTTTTTAATCACAATTTATTGCAAGGTTTTTTAATATTCTTCATTTGAAAAAGAAAATCAATTAGCTTTTCCATGATTATATCATAATCAGGAAAGTTAAAGAAAAAATTTATTATTTCTAAAATCTAGATATCAATTTTTTTTTTTTAAAAAAAAGCAGATATGTGTAGAATTCAGTTACCTAAACAGTTTGAAATTGCCTCATGTAAAATAAAGCAGATTTTTATATAACAGGAGGAATCTTTGTTATATAAAAATTCAAAGTAACATCTTCAGCAGCAACAAAGAAACAATTTCCAACAAATTATATTCTGTATTGAGTGGCAGAATATGACCATTGAAAATATAACTAAAAAACACAATAATAATGTTTATTATGATATTCTACTGAGAAAATGTTCAGTGTATTTAGTTTTAATTATCAAATGGTCACTGACATTAAACAAGTTTTTACATTGAACATTGGTTGAATATATATTTTAGAAGTGTTTTAACTTTATATTTTGAAAATGCTTTTGATAAAAAGTTTTTAAGAATTTTGATAATATTTGAAAATTTATGGGAAGAAAGTACTTAGAAAACAGTTTTAGGAAATAAAATATAAATTAGAAAATCATCTACAAGCCTGCTTATCTTGAAAGTGACTCAGAACAAAACAATGTTTTGACAATACTTTACTATGAGTAAGAATATGCCTTAAAGAGAGATGATTCAGATTAAATTTAGTATATCTTATTTTTTACTTATTCTGCCCTTCACTATAGAAAAATTCTCTGATTTTCCTGTTTCTTTTTACATTTAAAAAACAGTTAAAAATTTTGTTCTTTTTCTAGTAAGTATGAGGCTGGATAAAATAACCATTTTTTTGTATATTTATTACTTATACTTAAAACATGGAAAATATTGTATTCATTTTATATTGAAAACACAACACTTGTAATTAATTTTGTAATATTTATAATCAGACAATTTGTTTCATGTCTTTCATAAATTATTTCTTTTTGCTTAAGCTTTGACTGTAACATGTGGAGCTGTTTTATATCATGAAAAACAAGTAATTGTTAAATTTCTTTTTGAAATACAAAAATAAAAAATGAAAGAAAAAGAGAAATTCTCTGGGTACGATCGAAAGAAATCAATCCAACAAAGGTTTAGGTAAAATGTTGTCTTTACTCTTTTTGTATAGATATTCTTTCTGCCTTTTATTTTCTAAATGTTAAATTACCAATGTAGTATATTAAACCTAATATTTAACTCTTAATACAGAAGATTATTTTCTTTTTCTATGATAGCAGATGCACTAACAGCTTTTATAGAAAACTTTCAAACCTGGAGATATTATAACAGAAGAATCTTAGATATTTATAATCTTATTATATTTTTATAATTATTAAAATAATGAATATTTTATCATAATTATTATTACATTTATTACAATTTTATTATTATTGTTTTTTTAATTTTATTATCAAACTAAGTTTCCTAATCAATGACACAAAATTTTTACTTTTATTTCTTAAATATTGAAATTGGAATCAGCATGATTCATTATTTTAAAGAAAATTCAAATTTTCACTGTTTATTATTTTACAACTAAATAGGTTAACAAGGGTAAATCAATAAATTCATAGACTGACATGTACTTAACTGAATTTTCATGTGAAATTAAAAAAAGAAAAGAATGAAGAATATAATAAACTTTCATTAAGAAATTTGCTGAAGATTGGGCATAAAAAATTCATGATAATCTGCATACAAATTCAGATAAGTGAACTATTTCATTTTATTTTTTTCTTCTATGTTCCATGTACTTCTAGGGTGTAGGTGATCATAACTCACTACAACTTCCTGTCCATTGTAGCACTTAATAAATTTTATTTTTTTCTTATCTCTACTAAACATATTCCGTGAATAAAATATATATTTTTTATTGTTACTATTAATAATTAATACATATTATATAATAATATAATCTATGTGATTATTATTAACCCCAGAAGTGCATTGGGAAGGAAAAAAATGATGTTGAAAAATATTCAAAATAAATACCTTTTCCTTATTAAGCGAGGGAATTATTTTTATTCCCAACAGATGATGATGGTCTAGCATGAAAACTTCCAGGAAATTCTTCATTTAGGGAAAAAGAAAATCTGTCTATTTTTAGAAATCTTGTATCAAAATCTAAACTGCCATACTTGCTGATAATCTGTGTCGAGATGATATCCATCCTTGGATATGGATATATATATATATATATATATATATATATATATATATATATATACACATTGATATATGTATATAAGTAGGAGGATAATAATTCACCCAGATCAACAAAATCTAATAATTAATATTTCATTAACAAGTATAGAGAAATGCCAAAATGACATTTGTATTTTTTCATATATCAAAATAAATGCATAAAGACTTTATAGACTTACAGCCTAGCCAATTTATCTACTGTTACATATAATATATATGTTTATCTATTATAAGTTTCATGGTGAGGCACTGGTATGAGATACTTTTTCTTTCATATTATCTTTCCTTCACCCAATGGTAATTAATGTCCGTACTTCAGATAAGAGAGTAAGTTAGCCAAATTTTTCTTTTCTGACTTTAAATCATAAAAAATATGAACATATCAATGTAAAAATATCTGCATCCTCTCTCCAAATAGCTTATAGATGAACATCCCAGGTGACCTGTCATCCATCTCACTTGCCAGTTGGTTATAAACTTCATTTTGTTTGATTGTTGCTTGCTGAAATATCATATTCTGATACTTCTGAAAACAACAAGAGCCTAGGAAAAAAATCAAAGTACACTTTTAATTTTTATTTCCCAACAGATGGTGATGGTCTAGTATGAATACTTCCAGGAAATTCTTTTAGGGAAAAAGAAAATCTGTCTATTTTTAGAAAGCTTATATCAGAATGTAAACTGACATTCTTGCTGATAACCTGTGTAGAGATGATTACCATCCCTGAAAAAGAGATTATAAGAAAATTTAGATTCCATTTGTCTCTAAATAACTAGGATAATTCCAAGTGTAACAGGGAGAGTTTTTCTTGTTTATTGAAAAGAGAAGATTTATTTTAAAACCTTTGAGATATTATAATTTAAAATCAAAAAAGAATAATTTCTGTTTCTCTTGTCTGAATTATGATACTGTTAGTCATAAAAGTGATAAAGTGGAACCAAAATTAACTCAAATAATCTTTGCCCATATGATCATATGACCTGTTTTTATATCTAGGATTAATGTTAAAATGTGATTTTCACTACTTGCTTAATCTAATTATCTCTGTAAATATTCACATATATAATAATATATTTACATAGATGATATATATCTATATTCACATATATCTATTCATATGTATTCATATCTGTGTATTCATGTATAATATGTGTGTGTGTGTGTATGTGTAT